TTATTGCTCAGCACTTAGAATTGGTAATTAGGATAATGCCTTATATATGCATTTTTTTTCACTGATACTAAATTATCTGCGATATCAAGGTTGTGACTATTTTTCTACTTTAAATCAATGTATATGTTAGAACATTGTGTTCATGTAATATTTGTTATATGTCATTGAGTCACTTCCAACTCATGGATCCTGTATAGGGTTTACAAGAATCAGATGTAGATCTGAATTGCTGAGCTTGTGTTTTGCAATCTAGTACTTATAAAATGAAAGTAGAAGAATTCATACTTGTAATAGTATGAAACTGTCAGAACTGCACTTATTACTTTAAGAATGGCAGCAGTTAAAAAAAAAAAGTTAGCTCTTGTTTTTCTGTGCTGCCAAGTCAGTCCTCACAGGGACACAATGAAGCAGATTAGAACAGTGCCTGGTCTAGCACCATCCTCACAATCATTATGTAAGCCCGTTGTTGCAAACACTCTGTCAATTCATTTGTTGAGAGTCTTCCTTTTTGTATCCACTGTCTGCAAATATGATGTCTTTATCCTAGGCCTTGTCCTTACTAATAATGTATGGAAACTACTAAGACAAGTCCTGCATCCTTCATTTTCTGGACCCTTCCAGTGATTTCTTTCCAAAACAATCTGATTTGTTTTTATTTTTGTTTTTTTGTAGTAGTTTATGGTACATTCAATATTCTTTGCCAGCACCATAATTTAAAGGAATCAGTTCATCTTCTATTTTCTGTATTAATTGACCAGCGATCATACACTAATGGGATGATTAAAAATATCATGGCTTAAGTTAGGTTTATCTCATGGCTCAAATAACAACTTTGTTTTAAAGAATTGAAAGGAGCCATTTGCAACAGTTTTGTCAAATGCAATAAGTTCTTTGATTTGAATCGAAAGGTCAGCAGTTCCAAACTACCAGCTGTTCTGTGGGAGAAAGATGAGGGGTTCTGCTACCGTAAAGATTTATAGTCTCGGAAACCCTGTTCAGGGTCGCTATGGGTCGGAACCGACTCGACGGCACTTAACAGCAACATTCTTGTAAGTTGATTATGGGTCCAAGTATAATGAAATCCTTGACAACTTCTATCTTTTCTGCATTTATTATAATGCTGCATTTTGTTCCAGTTGTGAGGATTTTCATGAGTGACAAATTTTATCAATGCCCTCAATCTGCCTATTCCAAGAAATATTTTTATTATCTAATATAAATATAAGGAACTCTGGTAGTGTAGTGGTTACGAATCGGGCTGGGAGCCACAAAGTCAGCAGTTAGAAACTACCAGCTCTTCCTTGGGAGAAAGATGAGGCTTTCTGCTCCCGTAAAAATTTCCAGCCTTGGAAACCCTGTACAGGGTCGCTAT